CAGTTTTGCCTTACGGTTGGTAATTATATCTGAAGGTATCAATCGTGTCCTGGCGTTGTCGCCCCACAGGTATTCTTTTTTCCCAGAGCTTCCTTTGGCATGAAGTGATAAGTAGACCCTTCATCGGCCGCTTTGTTCGGATAAGATAAGGTTGATTCCCTTCCCTGATGGGCTATTTTTGCCATTTTCGAAGTCCAGTCCGTATTACTACTGGGTATGAGACAGCGCTCGGGGGTATTTGAAAGACCTCATGAAGGTAAGTTGTTTTCTTATTTATTTGCACAGTTTTTCGGCCAGTGCGTGGATCATCTTGAGGTCCAATGGAAATATCACTGTCGCCCCAGTTAATGGTGAACAATTTTTGGCCCCAAGTTTCGTGTGATGAAGTACAACAGCCCCTTTCTGGCTCCTTCATCCATTACGGACACATGAGCGATATCCTGGTTGGTGTTTGGTTATTGCTTTTTTCCTTGTTGTATTCGAGGGTTGTATTTTTTTTTTTTGTTTTACCTTATTAGGGGAGGGCACCCCTGCTGTTTGTTCGTACTTTTTTCTGGTTTGGTATGTTTCGTAGATGTTTGGGTAAGGAAGCCTTGTGCCACATTTTGTGAACAACGAGGTGATTTTATGTATCGTTGATACCACAATAGGACTGCTCGCTACGTGTCGTCTTTTTAGATTTTGAATCTGATTTCTATTAATTGGTACTGGGAAACACTATGAGATTTAATTCATATTCATTTGGCGATGGAAGGTAGGTTCGCAGGATTTTTGCTGGTATTGGCTTCCTCTTGAGGTCCCAAGAGTTTGTCCTTGGTTGTCTTACTTTTAGACTTTTGTGCCCTGAGAGGTCATTGGGTGGTTCATGTTAGATAGATATACTGAAGTATGGAATAGTTATTTTCCGTTGGAGGGTTTGAAGAGATTTCGATTGGCGTTGTTTATTTTTGTTGGTTTGTTGTTTTTTGTTTTTTCTGTTTGTTTATGGCGAAACTTGCTCATTGGCGATTGAACTCAATTGACATTATAGTTCACACCTCTTTGTGCTCAATAGTATGATACGTTGCTGATGTTGTTCCCATCCCCAAATGTTTGACTCCCTTGACTCCAAGAAGCCGCTTGGGCTTTGGTTTTTTTTTTTCTCTGACGCATGGTTGTCTGCGGTCGCAAACCAATGGACGATGGGGTTTTAGGCCAGACTATGGGAATACATTTGATTCGTACAAACTTTGCTTTTTGCTTCATCACTGCTTGGACCCCCGATCCTTGGAACTTGGGGTAGTTCGGATACATCATATGTTGATAGAGAGGGTTGGCTGTTGCTGGGGGTGGTGGCGGGGGGGGGATCCTGTGTGGGAGGGGGGGGGGGCCGGGGCGGGGGCGGAATGGGGTGGGTGGGGGGTGGGCGAGCGGGTGAGGGGGGCGGGATACGTGTTGGGGGTAGTTAGGGGTGGGGGTGGGGGGTGGGGGGCGGGAGCGGGAGGAAAATTGTGGTTGAGAACTGTAGGAATTGTGTTGGAGTTGTGGGGGTTGGTATGGTTGGGTGGGTGAGGGTGGGGTGAGGGGGATTTGTGTAGAACGGTGGGGTTGTGGGGGAGTGGGGGGGGGGGGCGGGGGGGGGGAGGGCGGGTGGGTGTGGGGGGGTGTGGGGGGGGTGTTTGAGAATTTGATGATTGGGGGGGGTGGTGGGGGGGGGGTGGTGGGGGGGCGGGGGGTGGGGGGGGCGGAGGGGGGGGGCTTGTGGGGGGGCGGGGGGGTTTCAGGCCCGGGGGGGGCTTGGTTGGGAGGTAGTTTGGGGAGAGGTTGCGTGTGTTGTTGGGTTTTGAGGTTTTGTTGTAGCTGGGGGGTGTGGGGGTTTGTGAATATTGGTGTGGGGATTTTTTGTGTGGGTGTGTTGGTGGGGGGGGGGGGGGGGGGGGGTTGGTGGTCGGGTGGGGGGGGTGTGTGTGGTGATGGTGCCGGGAGGGGGGGGGGGGGTTTGCTGTGTGGTTTGGGTGCCTATTATTGTTTTGCGTGCACATTTTGTTTGATCAACGGACTGTATTTATGGTGGAAAACCAGGTTCCTAATTCAATCTGCTTGACTGTGGTTTAATGTGTATTTTTAGGGGGTGTCGCATCAGGCACAAGTTTTCCTGTGTTTTTATTATAATAAGCTTCTTGTCGTGGTGCCCGTGTCTCTGTTTATTTGTTCTATATTAAGCGTGTTGATTTTATCCTATTGGGGCACAGTATGAATTCATTCAGTACAGTGCTCTGTGTTTTTTGTTTGTCTACGGGGCGTTCGGTACTGTGTTCGGTGAGTCAACTTGACGGGTTTTTGAGTTTTTTTGATGTTTGGCTGGTCGTTTATTGTTAGCTTTTGGCTGCTTGGTTGATGTTAACTACCTTGTCGTTTCCTGCCCGCCCACTCGGCGATGGATGATGGATTACCGTTCCCAATGCGATTTTTAGTACCCATTTTTTGGTGGGATTGAAGAGAAGCCATTTGATAGCCCTTGGTCTGTTGGTTCTACTTTCGCACGGATTACAACTAGCTTTCCGCATTCCTTGGATGTCTCACAGATGAACCGGCCCCTTCAGGGGAAGTATCATACGAACTTTTTTTTGTTGGTGGCTTTTTTGTGTGTTGGTTTTTTTTCGTCGTCCAAACCTTCTGTCGATGTCGGTGGCATCTATAGCTTAGTGCTGATGCCATCTGTTCATGGACCGCTTGGGTCTATATTCATTGGGTTTGTGCTGTCAAACGGCTATGGGGTTTGGGTGTATGCTCAGTATTTTGCGTGTGCCTGAATTTATTGTACTTCGAATGGGTTGCCGCCATTAATGGTTTGCTCGATGTTTTTTCTCTGTGGGCTCATATTTGGACCCTGCGGTTTGTGTGGGGACATCACTGGCATAATTATTTTGTGGGGCGTGTTCCCTATGGCTTACCTCTAGTGGGCACTCCGATTTAGCATGGATGGGTGCTGGGGTCTTGTGCAGGCCCCTCTTTTGCCGGTTTTCGTCCCTGGGGGTCCCTGGGGCTTCCCTACGTTCTCGTGTGCGGGGGGCGTGCTGGTGGTGGGTAGGGCTCGACGTCGATAGGTTTTCTCGGTGGCTCGGGTTTTTAGGGTTTGGTTGGTGTTTGGTTTGTGTTTATTTTTTGTTTTTCTTTGTGTTTTTTTTGTTTTTTTTTTCCCCCCTTTTCTTTTACTGGGCGGATTCTTGTAATCAGACAAGCAGCGGCGTGGGAGGGTTCGGGATAGGGACTAGCAGATCACAGGACACTTTAAGGACCATAATCACTGACAGCAGAAGATTCAGGTGATGCATCACGTGATGCGTCATCTGCTCTATGGATAATCACATGATGTCACAAGCATTGGCGGTGAGTCCACATGCTAACAGAGCAAGTCCCCTTTGCTTATTTCTAGTACTTTTCCAAAGCAAGTGCACTGAAGCAGTAGCCATGGCTTATAGGACGCCTCGTAGCCTGTAGTGCCGGAATAGCTGCAAACAAATAGACAGACAGACATGTCGACCAAGTACTGTAACCCTACCTGTGCATGTGCACCGGGGGTTAATGAGTGGACATGGAGGAGATGCCCTGAACCAATGACACACACGCCCATCTATACCACACATGTCTATCCTATAGCCTGGGCTACTTCTTGTTAACCCTCGGCGTGCATGTGCAGTGAGGGTTACGGTAGTCGTTCTGTCTGTCTGTCTGTCTGTCTGTCTGCCTGTGTGTGTGTGTCGATGCTTATTCTGGCACTACAGGCTACAAGGCGGCCTATTAGAGATACCAGCGGCTTCAAGCCTGAAAAATGAAAGGGTGATTTTCCTGAAACGACTGCGTTCGAGATATATGCTGTGAAAACAAGCAAAAAATCCATTATGTATAATCGCACTTGGCTTACTGCGACCTGATCCGCTCGCTCTGTGTACCTTGGGGGCTCAGGAAGTCACAACGAATGGCATGTATCCCGCATGCTATCTACTACTGTAGCTAGCCCGTGTCAGACTCTGCGCAAGCTACTGACCACGAGTAAACGCATACAAATAGCCCAGCCCATCCATTAGCATTATCGCGCATGAGCAGTTCGCCGAGGGTTTGCACTTTAGTGCTTTTCATTAACCCTCGGCGCTCATGCGCAGCGAGGGTTACAGTACTTGGTCTGTCTGTGTGTCAACACTTATTCTGGCACTACAGGCTATGAGACAATACCAATGGCTTCAGAGCCACAAGTGCGTGAAAAATAAAAAAAGGCGATTTTCTTGAAGAAACTGCGTTCAAGAGATATGCCGTGAAACCAAGCGATAAAGCCAGTATGTATAATCTCGCTGTCTTATCTCGACCTTATCCACTTGCTCTGTGTACCTTAGAGATCTTTAATTGGGTAAAAAGCAGTTGTAAAATGCACATCATAGCCCCACACACCTATTAGCCAATCTGTGCTACCATACGTACTTAACTCTACTGGTGATCAAAGGCCTACTAGTTTTGTATGGCAAAGAGGCTTTATATCCACGTAGCAGCTGTACCTGCTAATAAATTGACTCCTGTCATATTGAGCATACCATATTCGCTCTAGTAATATTTGCAAAATACAACAGCAAAAACTGAAAATTCTTTTTCGCACCTCAAACAGAGTGTTTGCAAATTAACACGTTGCACTTGGTAGGCGACTATAGTGACCCTTATGAATATTAATGAGTTTTTAAAAGTGGCTCTGGTGTGATTCAAACAACCTACGTTTACAACACAGGGCCCCGCTTCTATGACAGTCGGTCAAATCATGAGCTATTATTATTATTATTGTTGTCATACACACCAGTAAAGGTGCACACATAAAATGAAACAGAAGGAGAGGTAGAGAGATAGAAGAAACACAGAGGGTGGACCAGTGGCCGACTGGACTCTGTCCCGTCGCCATCCGTGGGCTTAAGGGCTCCTGGACCGGCCACTGGTCCCCTCATCATACGTCTTGGAAAAGTGACTACATAAAATTTACTGACATGAAATTCTTGAGATAAGGGACTCAAAGTCTGAAAATAGACCAAAAGTACTTCGAACTAATCTGATTACATATGCAATACTAATATCAGTATCATGAAAACATCTAACATGTAAATGACCGTAGTGAAAATTATAACCAGTGAAGCAGTTAACAAAATAAGCAGACTCAGTAAATATGGTACTGATGAGATTAGAAGAAGAGAGAGCTTTTACAAGGGAGGATTTAAAACGTTGATATATTTATATTAATGGTTTGAACCTGTGCGACACACATTAAACATATCTCCTATAACATGTGCAAAACGAAAAAACTAACAACATGGTATGCTCAGTTGAATAACTTACTATACAACTTGATACAGTCTGGCCAGTAGGACCAACTCAGCAGATCATCCAGGGGTACTGAAAATGAACCCATTTCTTGTGACCTTAATTGTGGGTACCTCTTCATCATAATACGTCCAAAGACTAAACCAAGCAAATGAGAATCTCCATAGGTGTCAAGAGATCCATACTGTAAAATAAAAAATACCCACTCACTACAGTTTATTATAAAATACTACAACAAGCCCAGAGCAGGAGAGGGTCTAAGCACTTTTGCGCAATGTTTGTGCACAGCTTAACTGCATTTTGTCATGTGCTGAACATGCTTTAACAGCTGTAGACTCGTTCTCGCTGGAGGAAGCTAAAAAGGTCTTCATTTTAGTTCCATTTTGCATCATAGAGAGGAAAGAAGCATCGGATACAGCAAGTTTTAAGTCTTCACGGCGAGTTCTTGGCAACAGAGCGAGTTTATTTGCATGGAAGCTTGCCATACCCACATCGAAGATGCCATTTTTTGGCAGGCGTCTCCGTGGAAAAACACACTTGGAAAATACTGGATTTAGGATCGATGTTTACGCAGTCAATTTTAATCTGCCGACGTCTGTTACCACATTTTCTGCACACACACATACACACAATAAGCCAGCCAAACAAGCAATACATACAAGCAGACTCAGCGCAATACTGGCTTGATTAAAAAATACTGCATTAAAACATAACGGCATGACGAATACATGTTTGTAAGCAACAAAAATAGCCTCGGGCACTTTTCTTTAAAATTACTTCTTCACGCTAACGGTAGTAGGTATGGAGATGAAACTTGGTATGAATGTGAATTAGAAAGTTTCTATAACAACTACATGTTTGTAAGCAACAAGAAATAAATTACTTTGCCACCTCCAAAACTTTCTAACAGTAGCACCCTTGGAGATGAAATTTGGTACACATGCATATTACATCATGTCAATGAGAATATTTAACAACAACGAACAAACTCAGGCACTTTTTTCAAAATTCTGACTCTTAAACCTGGCTAACAGTAGCACCAGGAGAGAAGAAACTTTGTATGCAACATTTTAACATTCTAATGGTAGCATGAATGGAGATAAAACTAGGTACACCTACTATTAACGTTATGGGGAGCTTGCCCCCTTTACAGATATATATGTTATAGTTTATGTATAAAAATTAGAGGAGACAAGTAAATAAATCATCCTGCAAAGCAGCATAATGCTTGGAGACAAGATGGGGATGGGAGCCTAGGTGAAGTATTAAACATTCACAGTCTTTCAGCATGACATATAGCTTAAAGGTACAAGTCACAACAATGTCTTTAACAATGTGGAAGAGGTGTAATTCTAGCGAGTACACAACACCATTATAGAGTCCAAATAGAGTTTAAGTTAAGAGGGACACACCAGGCAACAATATAGGTATTGTGTGATGGGGTCGGGGGTGTCAGCATGCTCAAATCTGTTCGTTGTTCATGTTTCCAATCCCTATATTGTCTCCCTCTCTTTTTTACCTTCCCCATATCCCTCTTTTTAAAATTGGCAGGATTTTTGTTTAAGTATTGTTGTTGAAATTTTTTTGTAAGGCTTACATCTGATGTCCTATCAATGGCTTCAAGAACCTCATCAACCACAATACTTGAAAGAACTGGATGTATCTTTTGTTCCATTTCCTCCAGGAGAGTCATGAGACTGAGCTTGTGCCTAACTGGTACCTACGCAGAAATAACATGTTCTTTAAAATTGTTTTAAGATTTAAACTGTGATGGGCGTACCTCCATTACTCTTGGCTTGACTACCTGTTTAACACATTCTGACCGTCTGTACTTATTTTCTTATGACGTAGAGGCTTAGTAGACAGCATACTCTGCCACAGCTGTAACATGTGGTAAAGATTTTTCACTTTTATTTAAAAAAATTGCTTGTGTACCTTAAATTCTGTAGAGTTACGTCCAGATTTCCCCCCAAAAACTGACCCGCCAATCACATTTGTACTTTCAATCCAACTTTTTAAAGATAACTGGCACCATTGAAATGCCTGGCCAATCACTTCGACTTCAACAACCTCTTGGTTAGCAATTAAATCTTCGACATGACACAGAGAATACAGGAGAATAGTGATGGACCACTTCAGCACATCCAATTGAAAGTCTAGTTTCCCAGGCAAGTTGGAAAACAAGTGCCAGACTAAACCAAGCGCAGCATAAGCTGTGGCCACGACACTTTCTCTCCTACACGAAATCAGGTAAAAGAGAACATGTATAATTAACATTGCTGATTGACATACCCATTAACTTCATTTAAGACCTTCTCTCCTATTTTCTCCAGCCATGACTTCCACTTCAAGACCTTCAAATCAAAACAGATTGACTATCGAGTGCATACAGTATTGATACAAAACTTACAAAGTCCTTCAACATCTTCACTTTTTGGAATGAGAGCCATTTTAAGGACAGACACGCAGGGACTATTGAACACAACGTTGAAAATTCCTCATCTGGGCACAGATATATGACATCAAAGATGAGTACAGGATCAACAGTGAAGAGACTTTTCAAAATGTCACCGTTATGTGCCACAAGCCTGGTAAACAAATTAATACATACACCTTTATCACGGATTAATGTTGAATACAAAATATACCCTCGCAAGGATTTCTTCCTTAAAACATCAACGTAGCCGAAATTCCTCTGCTCTTCCAGAAAAATCATTTGGTACAGGATCCAGTTTAGGGTTGGCAAATGGTTCACAGGCACCAGACAGGAAATGACATATTGGCAAAACAGACAACCAATCCCAGGTAACGGTTGATGATTTGGACTTCATAGCATCTTTACAGAGTCGCAAAACTCCCTTCGTCACTTCTCCTCTGCAGACAGATAACAATTAGTGAATAAACAAGCAGAAGCCCAGCTCTAAACCTTTACCAAAACAGGGTGGAAACCATTGGCCACTCACCGTTTACCAAACAAAATGAAAAGCTCTAAAGTGCAAACCCTCGGCGAACCGCTAATTGATGGTTGGGCTATAATAATATGCGTTTACTCGTGGTCTACTGCTAGTAGCTCGCAGAGAGTCTGACACGGGATAGCTACAGTATAGATAGCATGCGGGAGTCGATACACGTCCTTCGTTGTGACTTCTTGTGCCTTCAAGATGCACAGAGCAAGCATACCCGGTCTAGGTAAGCCTGTAGTAATTTGCATATTGGCTTCTTCACTTGCTTTTCATGCCATAACTTCTGAACGCGGCACTTTTACGAAAATTGCCATGTAAAAATAATAAAGCCAGTGTAGCGCTGAACCCGTTGGTGTCGCTTTTTTACCTGTTTGTTGGGCGTGGTGACAGAAAACGTGGTAACGGACGGACAGACAAACCTAGTACTGTAACCCTCGCTGCGCATGCACGCCGAGGGTTAAATATGCGTTATTTTGTACAGTCTTACACAGGGATACAAAACAATGGCCTTGTGCATAAGTATGGCCTGATTAGGTATTATACATGACTCACCTTCCGTTGTCACAGAGAGAAAATAAGTAAGAAATATTAGGACATGTCTTGGAACCGAAGTCAGGTTGAATTCGAAGCATCCGTAATAAAGGATAAACAAATTCTTCTTGATTTAATTGGTGAATATTGCACGACAATGAGCAGCAAGCAATGCAAGTTGAGCTGACAAACTGTTTCCAAACAGTTTTAAGTCCCTGAAGACCATCCACAACACGTTCCAGCCACTCTCTGAAATCCTGTCAAATTGGTCAGAAAATGAAGCTTGCTGGATAACACTTGGCATCACTACTTTTTGTACTCAGCGATGCTAGTCTCCCAGTGTCACTACGTACGTAAGCTCAACACAAAATATGAACTATGGGGTAGTTACATCATTGTACACACTACGAAGTAGACAGGCTAAAGCACAGCACACAAGTCCACCACACAGGACAGCTAGGAAAAAAGAATAGCTGTCATACGTATGTAGGTGGGATCCACGACACTCTGTAGTAGGCAAACGCTAACTAACTGCGCAACTCAGTTGGTAGGGGTTCAAATAATCTTCAACACAAACGCAAACATCAAAACCACTGTGTTATCGTAGGGTATACTCTCTGTATGTACTCAAAATGTTCTAATTAGGATAATCTTAAAGTAAACATTACTTTACAAAATCAGAATTAACCCTTGGAATATTCAATGCCAGAACAATATGCTCGCTGCAGCATCGAACAGAAAACCAATATAATGTCATGCAGAACAAAGTATACAATACATATATATAAAATATACAATAGCTTTAAGTAGTAGACTATGTACCTGCGTGTATGTGTGTGGAAGCAGTATACTCAGTATTCACACAACACTTCCGGCATCAAGTGCATATTTAATGCGAAACGAAGAAAAAAAACTGAAAGAGACCAGAAAATGGTGGGCTCTGCTGCAGTCTCAAGCTTTGCATAGGAGGTTGTTTCAGAACCCAGATAAAGACAATTAACAGTAAGTTCTAGAAGTGGCAACACTTTGAAAATACAAGTTACACGAATGTGTTTGATGTTGAAACAAAGATGTGAGGATGGGTTATCATTCTGTGTGCCTATTGTTCCCTTTCTCCCTACAGTCCTCTTTCATTTTCCTTCATCATAATCCTTCACTTTTTTCAATGAAAAGCACTAAAGTGCAAACCCTCGGTGAACTGCGCATGCGCGATACAGCTAATTGATGGGCTGGGCTATTTGTATGCGTTTACTTGTGGTCCCGCTAGTAGCTCGCGTAGAGTCCTACACAGGCTAGTGACAGTAGTAGATAGCATACGGGAGTCGATACATGCCATTCGTTGTGACTTCCTGAGCCCCCAAAGTACACAGAGCGAGCGGATCAGGTCGCGGTAAGCCCAGTGCGATTATGCATATTGGCTTTTTCGCTTGTTTTCACAGCATATCTCTGGAACGCAGTCGTTTCAGGAAAATCGCCCTTTTATTTTTCAGGCTCGCGTAGCTCTGAAGCCGCTGGTATCGCTAATAGGCCACCTCATAGCCTGTAGTGCCAGAATAAGCGTCGACACACACACACACACACACACACACAGACAGACAGACAGACAGACAAACCAACTACTGTCACCCTCGCTGCGCATGCGCGCCGAGGGTTAATTAGGGGCAAAGCACCAACAAAAACGAGACATGATGCAATTGCAGCGTATTTCTTCTGCTGACAGCATGAATGTGCTTTTTTTTGTGAGACAGGCACTACTCTCAAGTAGCAGCGTTTTCAGGCTTATTAACCCTCGACGCGCATGCGCTAGGGGGTTATAGTAGTTGGTCTGTGTGTCTGTCTGTGTGTGTGTCTCTTACCACGTTTTCTGCCACCACGCGCAACAAACCGGCCAAAAAGCGACACCAACGGGTTCAGTGCTACGCTGGCTTCATTTTTAAAATGATGATTTTCGTAAAACTACTGCGTTCAACAGTTATGGCGTGAAAACCAAGTGAACAAACCAATATGCTAATTAGCACAGGCTTACCTCGACCAGGTCCGCTCGCTCTGTGTATCTTGAAGGCACAAGAAGTCACAACGAAGGGCGTGTATCGACTCCCGCATGCTATCTACTACTGTAGCTAGCCCGTGTCAGACTCTCCGCGAGCAAGCAACTAGCAGTAGACCACGAGTCAAGTAAACGCATACTAATAGCCCAGCCCATCATAGAGCGGTACCGCGCATGCGCAGTTCGCCGAGGGTTTGCACTTTAGTGCTTTTCATTTTGGTCAGTACCCACAAGTAATACATGTAAGTTAGTTACGGGAACTACGGGATTACTATGAACCTGAGGGCTTCCACGTTGTAGTGTCCCAAGCACAGCGAGAAAACTAAGCAGATGTCCATAAGGTTCTGTACTTCCGGAGTACACTAAGTTACAACATGTTTAGTGCAGAGCAACCAAATCTGCACAGATGCAGCAACCCTGTTTTCAGGCGAATGAAATCGGAATGAACGCGAAGATTCAAGGGCAAATAAGGATCTTTAAGCCACCAGGGGCAAACCAGAAATGGTACGCGAAGCGCCCGAGCGTGTCGGGCGGAATAAACCAGCGACATACCTCTTTGGCATGCTTTAACCAACGCATTCCAGCCAAACAAAGGCCTGTATATAAAACAGTGTAACTCAGATCTGATTAACCCGTTATCTGTTTTCAGGCAGTCACATGTTGGCCCTCTGTATTTATGTCATTCCGGTCAATTCGATTTTTCTTGTACTTACCTTAAATTAGAGACATGGATAATATTTTTGTGAAAATGGCTATGTTGAACCCTCTGCGAGTAACATCGCCATAATCCGCCTCAATCAGAGAAAGAGTTCAACAATTATGGTCCTTCGAGCTGGATACCACACGAACCAGCGGCTATCGGATGGTTCTTTCTCTCACACACCCTCGTTCTTCGTGAAACGGCACTACTCGACTGACCACGTGTGACCACACTTGTCCTCATCTCTCACCCTTACTCGCTGACAATGAGCAACATCTCTATCCTCAGAAGGAGAAGAGGCGTCGTCCGCGCCAGCAAACACTCATCTCGCCAATCGTTTGAAGGATTTGGAGAAAGATGCTGACCGACCGGCCACCCTTGACCTCGCACGTGGAATGACACGCAAGTTAGACGCCCTCAATTCTGACTTTCGTACGCATCATCACGCCCTCATCGACTTAATCGACGACGAAAAGACGCTTCAAAGAGAGCAAACCACGTTGGATGAACACGACGACTGTGTTGCTGAACTTGCTGCTCATATCGAACAACTCATCAACCTTTGTGCTTCCTCGTCGGACTCCTCGCCTCGTATGATTGCATCTCAGAGACTGTCCCACCTACAGAAGACCTTGTCATCAATCAGTGAAACAATCGCCTCGTCTGATCAAAGCACGGATCCCTGCCTCCTACGACAATATGAGGAGCAACTCATCGATGTCAAGAAGGAACTAACCGATATTCGCAACAGTCTTTTGCCTCTCGACCTAGACCTGTTAAGAGTTGTTGCATCAATGAACTGATGCCTCCTCTTCGACTTTAGATGGGAAAGTAGTCAAGCTACCAAAACTGGAGGTACACACCTACCTTTGACGGCAACATCCTGAACTGGCAACCATTTTGGGAACAATTCTGTGTCTCCGTACACACTCTGAGAAACTCGTGTACCTTCAACATTCCCTAAAGAATGGTTCGGCTAAGAAGGTAATCAAAACTCTCTCCTGCTCTGGTGAGTTCTACGTTGAAGCTATTGAATGCCTGAAAGCTCGCTATGATCGTCCCCGTTTGATACACCAGACCCACGTACGCATGATCCTGGAAGCTCCGCCACTACTGAAAGACGGCACTGGAAGAGAACTGCATCGCCTCCATGACACCGTTCAGCAACACCTCAGACCCCTCAAGGCGATGGACTATGAACCATCTGGACCATTCATCACATCAGTGCTTGAGCTGAAGCTTGACGTAAACACAATGTTTGATGGAAAAGACAAAGCCAGGACGACCCCGACGTTCCTCATAATCACAAGCTGCTCGAATTTATCAATCTACGCGCTCAAGCATCCGAGACTCCACTACCCAATCGAAAGTGGAACGAATCTCACACCATGAGGAACAACGCTCAAACCACCAACCCAGTAACGTCCTTTGCAACTAACGCCTCTGACAATACTGCTGATTGCGTTCTCTGCAAAGGTGAGAAACATTAATTGTATGCCTGTGTGCGCTTCAAGGCCCTTGCACACGATAAGATGGTGTCAACTTTGAAATCAAACAACCTCTGTATGAATTGCCTGAGCCCTGGACCTTTCGTCAAGCAGTGCAAGTCAGCCCATCGTTGCAGACAATGTCAGAAGCCACATCACACGCTATTGCAATTTCAAAGTGAGCAAAGTCCTTCGTCATCAACTGACACATCCGTTCAACCCGTCACGTCTAACGCTGCTGCAGGTCTCACATCCAACTCTCTTCTGATGACCTGTCGGATTCTGATCGACCCCTCAGATGGTTCTTCTATTAAAGCACGATCCATCCTTGACTCTGCATCGTCTGCCTCGTTCATCTCTGAGCGTCTCACCCGGACACTATGTCTCTCTCGCTCACATCGGAACACCAAGATCTCAGGAGTTGCTGGACTGTCGCGCAATTTACCACTCCAGTCAGTAGCCAACTTTAAGATCTCCCCCACGCATCTCCCCAATAGGCCAATAGGAAGTTTAAAGTTTCAGCTGTCGTTGTACGTATGATGTGTCATCTACCCCTCCAACCCATCTCCTTGGACTCCTCGTGGAAGCACTTAGAAGACATCCATCTCGCTGACCCTTACTTTGGCCACCCTGGCAGGATTGACGTCCTCCTCAGTGTTGACATCTTTGTTGAAACACTCCTTCAGGGCCGGCGGATTGGACCTCCTGGTTCTCCCTGCTCATTCAAAAGTGAGTTTGGTTGGGTTCTCGCAGGCCGTCAGGATGCGTCATCCCCAAGTACTCACATTGCCTCGCATCATGCCTCACTCACTACTGGAGATGACCTACTGCGTCTTTTCTGAGAGGTTGAAGAAGGTCCAAAAGAATGCTCTGTTGTACAGCATTTCAAAGAAACCCATTTTCGCACCGAGACTGGAAGATTCATCGTTCCTCTCCCGAAAAAGCCAAATTGCTAAGGCACTGGGTGAATCCCGATCTCAAGCTGTAAAGAGATTCCTTGCACTGGAGCGCTCTCCATGTTCCAAAGACCAGTTTGAGAGTTTCAACGACGTAATGGAAGAATATTTCCCGATGGGACACGTTGAGCTCGTACCCACGGCCGACTTAGAAAAATCACAACAGGAAATATTTTACCTCCCAATGCATGCAGTCAGAAAGGAGACCAGTTCTGTTTTCTGTTTCTGTTTTCGATGCGTCTGCCAAATCTTCAACTGGCGTTACGTTAAATGACACACTCCTTGTGGGACCGACCGTACACTCTTCACTCATCGATGTGTTACTCAGGTTCCGGTTCAAGTTCCGTGTTGCGTTAACCACTGATGTCAGCCGAATGTACCGTGCAGTGGAGTTAACCCTCCCCGACAGAGATCTTCATAGATTTGTCTGGAGAAGTGACCCTAATGAACCCCTACGAGATTATCGTATGACATGCATCACCTTCAATGTCTCCACATCTTCATTCGCCGCAAATATATTGCAGTCAAGCAGAATGCACTCGACCTCATATTGGAGTACCAGGAAGCCTCAGTTGCCGTTGTGGATGACGGCCTGACTGGAGCCAACACCGTTCAAGAAGCGACAGACCTGCAGAAACAGCTCCAACACCTCTTCTCCCACGGGGGATTTCTTCTGCGCAAATGGAACTCCAGTGAGCCCTAAGTCCTAAAACACGTCCCGTCCAAGCTGAAGGAGACCAACTCTGCACAATCACTTCCAAGTCCTGATGATTACACGAAGACCCTCGGCATTGAGTGGAGTTCTCATCTAGACCTTTTTCGGCTCACCATCGCAGATCTACCTCCTCTCGAGAGCATCACTAAGCAACTTCTGGTGTCTGACATCGCGAAAACATTTTATATTCCTGGATGGTTCTCCCATACAGTCATCAAAGTCAAGATTTTGTTGCAACGTTTGTGGGAGCCTCAAAGTTGACTGGGATGACTCCTTCCCTCCGGAAATTCGTGAAGTTTGGTTGCGGTGGAAATCAGAGCTCAAGTGCCTCTCTGAACGACACATTCCTCGGTGCTACTTCCCAAGGAAAGCATACATAGTCGCTGTCGACTTACATGGATCTCTGATGGCATTGAACGGCATATGCTGGTGTTGTCTATCTCCGCATGATGGACTTGACGGGAAAGAATCCACATCTCGCTCAGTGATTCTAAACGAAGGTCGCATTAAGCGTCTGACCATCCCTCGTCTTGAGCTATGTGGCGCTCATCTTCTCGCACGGTTACTTTATCATGTCCAGAACACCTTTGGTCTACCTCTCAATTGTGTATATGCCTGGACTGACAGTACCATCGTCCTCAGTTGGTTAGTCGGCAACCCACGGCGTTTCAAGACGTATGTTGGGAACAGAATTTATCACATCTGGAGCTACTTCGCCCGATCGATGGAATCACGTCGATGGAGCTGACAACCCTGCGGACTGCGCATCTAGAGGACTTCTACCCTCAGAGTTGCTAGGACATGAGTTGTGGTGGGATGGCCCGAAGTGGTTGAAGTTGCCCTCATCTGAATGGCCCAAACAGTCGTCGCTCCCTGACGTGGATCCATCAGGAGGAGAAAGAGAAGTCTGCGTCCATGCAACTACAAAACAACGAGAGCCACTCATCCCCCTTGATCAATACTCAAATTTCACCCAGTTAAAGTACGTCACGGCCTGGGAATTTCGGCTTGCAAACAACTGTTGCGTCCGAAGAGATCAGCGAGACACTCTGCCACACCTATCAGTCCTAGAAATACTCAGAACGGAAACGTATTGGCTAGTGTTCTCACACGAAGAGCGACTGGAGAGAGAATCGATGCCCTCAAGACAAATCAGGTCTATCCAAATCAGTAACTACCATCTTCATACGATCAGTAGATTCTGACGGTTGTCTTACGTGTCGGCGGCAGGCTAAGAAGAAACTCCACTCACTCGACACCGGCTATCCTTCACGGAAAGAAAGCATCAGTCCCGAAGTTGATCATCCAATCGCGAGCCATTTGCGCCTGCTCACTGGGGTCCCACTTTAGTCGCCGCATCACTTGCACTCATTTATCACATCATTGGATCCCGCAAGGACATATTCGTTCTCTGCGTTCGTGGATTTGTCACTTGCGGAGAAGGTCCGTGTAAGGGTGTTTGGTGTTATTTAAAAGGGGCGGTAAGTAATTAACGTAAGGTAATTACTGCAGAATGTCAAGGTTGGGTAAGTTATTAAGATAAATTGTTAAGTTAAAGGTAAGGGGTGTGAAGTATAAATATTTCTACTAAGTAAGTGGGGTTTAGTAATGTAAGTACGTAATAATTATGTAGTACTTTATTAAGTTAAAATGGTGTATAGTTTTAATAAATATAAGACATCAGCCTCAAAGTTTAGGTCAGCTGCAGGTGAACGAACTATCCTGGGTCCGTCTCGACAATGTGGTGTGGGACTATGCCGGTCTCGTGTACATCAAGTACGGCTTCGTTCGCAAGCCTACTGAAGTTAAGGCCTATATCTGTGTGTCTTCGTTTCATTGTCGGTCAAGGCCGTTCATTCAGGAACTGGCTGTCGGACTTACGACCGAGGCATCTCGCGTCACTCAGACGATACATCGCTCGTCGTGGCAAGCCATGATCACTATTTGAGTGATCATGGCACCAATTCGTGTTGGAGCCGCACGGGAACTAAAGGACACTCGCCACAGTTTCTCGGAAAAAACGTAAAACACACAAACCATTGCCTCCGAATTTGCACATCCAGCAGAAACATTGAATGGAAATTTATACGTGAAACGTGCCCCTCACTTTGTGCCTCTGGGACGCGCAGCGATGACAGTCACACCTCAACACGTGATCAACAACACGAAACTGACATTGAAGAATTAGAATCCACTGTCTGACTCAAGTGTAGAGGCATGCCTAAACAGTAGGCACTCACTCACCTACCCCACCCCACACCTGTGAGAGCAAACACACCATGAGGTTCGCACCCCAGGTCACGTTCCTTCGCTCGGGAAACACGAAGAAGCTCTTCCAGACCCTTTTCTCTCCTACCATTCAGTCTCTCTCCTCCGTCGATGGCACCTATGCCAGTCCCTAGTTCGTCACTTTTGGAAGAGGTGGTCGTCCGAGTATGTTGCTACCCTCCGTCGTTACACCAAGTGGCACCAGCCCAAATTTACAAGTTGGAGACATTGTTGTGTTGCAAGAAGACAATGTCATCCCTGCGAAGTGGCCTTTGGCACGCATCGTGGAGGTTCATCCCGGGAATGACGGACTCGTTTGCGTCGTCACGATGAAGACCAGCGCTGGTGTATACAAGAGACCCGTCACAGCTAGCTGTGCTTCTACCTCGAGATTGAACACTTATGGACACACTCATGGTATCATTTAATATGGCTTGTTAGTTATTGTATCTCTACTTAAGACCGTCTGGTCTTGGCCGGCGGTATGTTGCCGCTTTATATTTCAGTCATTTTGATTTTTCTTGTACTTACGTTAATATAGAGACTTGGATAAGATTTTGTGAAAATGGCTAAGTTGAAACGCTGCGAGTAGCATCGCCGTGTTATCCGCCTCAATCAAAGAAAGAGCTCAACAACCACGGTGTTTTGACTATGAATTATTCCCAAGCCTATTCAGTTTGATGATCGTTTTAGCCATGCAGTTCATTCTGCGGCTGTATGTTACTAAAAGGAGGATTTTCTGAAGTTCAACGAATACCCCAGGAAACAATACAGACTTCGCCCATCCAAATCTCAATTAGTGTAACAAATAATAATGTGTCCCAATAGAAATTAACACCTGTATCAATAATATACCTGAAAAAAACTTAAATAGGGCCATCGCTGGAGTACTTTATCATCCGTAGGATACAAACCACCCAAAATGGAGTATATCTGGAACACAGAACAACAATGGTCAATTTTTGGTACATAATATAGAGATTAGAACAGGGGTGCTCAGGGTGGCATGGCTTGTATATTGCTGGAGAGCGACAAGCATTAATTATAGCAAGGGTCTCTTTAGTAGTGCAAGCAATATCTCCAAATCACAATATAATATACATGGTTGCATGGAAGATCAAATGATGTTGAAATGGCACTAAAGTGCAAACCCTCGGCGAACTGCGCTTGCGCAGATACCGCTAATGATGGGCTGGGCGCGGTATTGGGTTAGTACGTGTTTACTCGTGGTCTCCCGCTAGTAGCACGCGGAGAGTCTGACACGGGCTAGCTACAGTAGTAGATAGCATGCGGGAGTCGATACACGCCTTCGTTGTGACGTCTTGTGCTCCAAGGTACGCAGAGCAAGCACATCTTGTTGATGTAAGCCCGTGCTAATTTGCATATTGGCTTGTGTAACTTGGTTTTCACGGCCATAACTTTTGAACGCAGCATTTTACGAAATCGCCAGTTTTAAAATCAAGCAAATGTAGCGCCGAACCCGTTGGCGTAGACTTTGGCGATCTTGTTGCGCCTAGTGGCAGAAGACACACAGACCAAGTACTGTAATTACCCCTCTAGCGCATTTGCGCCAAGGGTTAATGAAGTGTTGAGAAAGTACTGCATACCTGTGTGTTGTAGCAGGCATCTCCAAATCCCAGAAGAAAGGCACAAACCATTGCAATGTATAAGCTGAAGAGTAAGACAAGAGTAAGACAAAAGTAAGCAAATACACACTTAGTGGGAAATTAATGCACATGCAGCACTCTTCTTTAGCATAAGGATGGCAATGTATTACATTTAAAACCTCCCTTGTAGTGTCGATTAGGCAAACCCTCAAGGAACTGCGCATGCGCGATACCGCTAATTGATGGGCAGGACTATTAGTATGCGTTTACTCGTCGCTAGTATGCTTAGCTCGCAATGAGTCTGACATGGGCTAGCGATAGCAGCATGTGGAAGTTGATACACACCATTCGTTGTGACTTCTTGTGCCTCCAAGGTACACAGAGCAAGCCAACCCGGTCGAGGTAAGCCTGTGCTAATTTGCATATTGGCTTGTTCACTTGCTTTTCACGCCATAACTTTTGAACGCAGTAGTACTTAGTTAGTCTAGCGATGAACCCGTTGGTATCGCTGTTTTGTTGCACGTAGTCGCAGAAAACGTGGTAACCGACAGACAGACAGACAGACAGACGGACAGACAACCAAGTACAGTAATCCTCGCTGCGCATGCGTGCAGAGGGTTAATAAAGTAGAATATTTTGTCCTGTGAATTTTTTTCCAACAAGCATTTCCCAAAAATGGAAACCATGACATTATGATACAAGTAATTATAGATGGTGAATATAGGGATGGAATAAATTAAAGGAGACAAGACAGATTATGACCTAGCGTATGTCATGCTATAATGGCTCCATACTTGAAACTGACATTGCTTGCTTGTGACATTTTCCCAATATACAAGTTCCATATTGTCGCAAAGCATGGGCATGTTGCCTCGTAATACAATGACTAATTTCCTCAGCACATGAGACAAGTAATGCACATGTGTTGCCCCTTCTGACAGCTTCTCAGTTATTGAGTTGTAACTGCATAGTTGAAGACATTCCTTTGCCAGTCCTCACACCACATAATCCACTGGACAAACTCATGTCAGTGGTGACAATACAAGGGCTTGTGTGCAGGAAATGTTTTCACGAGCAAGCAATGTCATGGGTGGTGTGGTTCCTTCTACGCCAGTGCTTCACCGGCTAATTTAATTTCGGTTCCAACCTCCTCTAGCTCTGCGCGTGGATACTGCACACGCACACAGAGGTACGTATATACTAGTTTTTCAACGGTGAGCTGCTTATGGAAAAAGCGCCCAAAGGCAGGAATGATTCCGTGCAAGTCTCAGCACATAGGGTTATTAGGTTCAAGTTGCTGCTTCTATCATGCTGGAATGCAGTGGTGTAGTGGCTCATTATGATGGTTGGTGGAGCCTTTTCAAGACCATAGTAGCTCCACTTTTCACCATACCCACTGACTTAAGTTTATACTGTGAAGTGTATTATATTTTGCCAGTCCTGCGTTAGCTAGAACCCACATGTCATTGTGTTATGGGGTGGGGTGCTTATTATGATTCTGCATAGAAATAGCTGGCCAGCAAGTGCTTATCATAAACTGTTCACAGTGGTGTGTACTACTAGCAGTGTACTACGTATCATAATTATCTCATTTGTTTGCAGTTTTCGTTTTACGCCAGTTGATATTGAACACGTACAAGTACTTTGAATAAAGCATAAAGTGTCCAGCTACATACATTATGCATGGTTTTAACCCTGTTATGATGCGCCACACAACATGCCGTGTGCAGTAGACAAGCTTACAACTGTCCATGGCGAAGTGTGATTAGGGCCCACTGAAAGGGATACAGCTATTTTTGGCACAGCTAAAAAATGATTCACCGTCCAGGACTTTCTGTGTGACATTGTTCACTTTCCTTTGCTTGTTTCAAAACCTATGGAAAAGTCTGCTAGATCGCTACGTTTACGTTTACGCATGGAATCATTCCTGCTGCGTGCCGTTCTCGCGTTTGCTTTGCGATATCCGGCAAAAGTACGCATGCGCGAACTGTAGAGAAGCTATTAATCTGCAAAGTGCGTAAACCGTCCCTATAAACGCCACGCCCACACAAGCACGGATGACGCCGCACACGTCACACGTACCACAATATTCAAAAAGGCTAACGCCTAGGCACGAATCACAGTATTAGCACAGCAAGAAGCGTACCTGAAGATATCTCTACAAACCCCGCGCTGTACTCAGCAGCTAAGAGAAGTTCGTTTGGATTCCGGGGTTGGCACATGGACGTTTTTGTAAGTACTCACCCAGCCTCACCTTAGTATTGTCACTTTCACTACGAGGAACCATACGTCAGATGACAAGTTAGGAATTAACTTCCAAGCTTCCGGGTGACACGTAAACCGGGAGAGTGCATGCATGTCAGCTGACGCCGTATGATGTATTATTCTTACAGGGCCAAGTCAAGGTGGTCAATTTGTACTTTTTCAAGGTCAGCCAGTGCAGAATGTGTTTACATTATAGTTGACTAGTGATTTTCTCCATGCAAAAATTCCCACAGGTTAGAAATGTCTAATCAATTATGTCGCTATTTGGCTTGTAACTCATCAATTGGAATTAGTTACAGCAAAGGTGAGACACAACTGCTCTATACTGAAATATGTTCATAATGATTTATCCCACAGGAGCCTGAGGAAAGCCTTAAAACTATTATTGATGTAGCTGTAAGTTAGTATGGTACTGCAACCATTGGTATATAATCATTCGTAATAATCACAGATGAAGCACTTTTCTAGGAACTGCTCTTCCAGCACCAATTCTTCCATTCAGTTGGTGCAAATAGTGCATAAACATTCTACAGAAAGCGAGGTAGAAGTGCTCTCTGTGTCTGAAGATCAACTAATTTTTTCTAATGTCAGGGATTATGACATCAAATGTAAGAAAATCTGTCATTCAGCTGCATACACATGTGAATGTGAGGTCACAGTGTTAACTATGGTTTAGTACACTTAACAATCACATGTGCAGCTAAAAATTGCATACTTCATTTACTTTCATCAGCAATATTTTCCAGATCAACATTCCAAGGGCCTTATCAGCCCTCAGCATTTGCCATAATGTCAGTCAAAGAGATACATTAACACATTCATCAGCACACCCTCAACTGGAGGTACACAAACTTTAGTAAATGGCAGCTGGGTGCATAGCTATGGGGTTTTTAACCCTCGATGCGCTTGCGCAGCGAGGGGTACAGTAGTTGTAATGTGGTCTGTCTGTCTGTTACCAACATCTCACTTCACGAGCATGAATCGCTCCACAAACAATACAGGTATTCAGCGTCAGGTATAGGTCGAAAAGTATGTATGGTTTTCTCTGAAATGTTGCATTCTAGAGTTACGGCGTGAACACGAGCGAAAAGCTATATGCTAATTAGAACAGCTTACCTCGAGCGGTTGCCTTCTCTGTGTATCTTGAAGGCACAAGAAGTCACAACGAAGGTCGTGTATGACTCCACATGGATCTACTGCTGTATATAGCTAGCCCGTGTCAGACTCTCCGCGAGCTACAGCGGCGGGAGACCACGAGTAAACGCATACTAATAGCCCAGCCCATCAATTAGCGGTATCGCGCATGCAGAGCTTCGCCGAGGGTTGCTTTTTCTTGTTCATAACTTCTACGCTGCATGCTAAAACTAGGGGGACTGCCAGACATACTAGTGTCAAACCTACTACACCCAAAAAGATTCGGGAGTGGTGAGTTTGGAACACTGTGTAATAAAAACGTCGTGGCTTCCTGCAGGAAGGTGTTCAGGGGATAGGCATGCTGCACATGCCGTTGCGTCCACTCTTTTGTTGCAGAGCTGGGAAAATTTACTGGGCATACATCCCAGAGCGTCCTTCCACAACTGTGAAAGTATAAAATGGTCTTATATTGAGCATAATAAGGGGAGGAAGCTATGATGTTTAGCTTTTGAGTTAAAAATCATTACTTTTCTTCTTTACACACATTCATACGTGCACACATTACACCAGCCAGTTGGTGAATTATCAGCACTCTCTCTTGAGCTATCACGTTATCATCTTCAAATGTTGGGTCCAAGTACAAACTGCTACCTTAGTGCAAAAGAGGAAACGTGTGCTCAGTGTAACTTGGTTCGACAGCCCCGGAGGTGCAGCAGACATAATACAGAATGGAAGACCAGCTCGTTTACAATTCAAGAACATAAGTTCTATGCTGGCTTAACATTCTCTTGGACTAAGAGTTATGTCTGAATGTGTAATTGTATTGGATATTAAGAATTTGTGAGATCTTAAGATGGAAATACCTGACCACCTTTTCATCCTTGGATACCTGGCTTATACTTTTTTTTTGACCATAGGGTTAATGACTATAGACAGTTGGACAGTATTGGGCAAACCGTTTATCATTAGGCATTTTACCACTATGAAGTCAGAAGTAGAAGTGAATGGCATGCAATTACTTTCCAGACACATAAATGGTTACTGAACTCCAAAAAATATTGCAATGTTACACAATAATGTTTGCACAGTATATACTACAATTCCTCGCTCGCATCAGTGTGTGAAATAGACAAACACTGACCAACATATCAGCCTACCTTGAAGGGTGAAATAGCTGACCATATGCATCATCAACATATCCATGAATGGCAGCATCAGGCAAATTGTAGAAAATCAGAAGGAAGCTGACAAAATGGGTAAGCATCCCGAGTAAGACCACTGGATCTCTACCCCAGCGGTTAGTGTAGTTCCCCAACACACCAAAAATTCCTCCACCTAATGGTAAGGTAGCACCGACATGATACATTACTAGTCAGCATTACCAAAAAGAATGTGTATTGTTGGCGACAAACATGCTAGTTACATTGCATGCAGCAATTATTGTGAGATTTTCAGTTACATGCATAATCTTAGTACATTACAAATTAACAGAAGCATGCATAGTTCAGATGATAAGGTAGGCTTGCTTTGCTCAGTAACTACAGTGTCATTAACACAAGATTCTGCACTATCACATAGTAATGCATGGCGCATTGTGAATTCACACAGTAAGAATTGTGGGCTTGATTCTAAGCCTTAGATGAGGCTACGTAGGTCAGGATTGAAAGGAAACAAAGGCAGTCTACATGCAATAATGCATAGTGGTTTACCACATGCACCTCTTGCAGTGAGTGTGATTGCTTTCATAGTAGGGTATTTATAGAACCAATTGCTACAGCTTGCTATTGCCCACTAATAAAAAAGAATGATGTGCCAACCCCCAGTTAAATGAAGCATTAAGGTAAATATCAAGCACAGTCATAACCTGCAGTGCCATGCTACTGCAGTGGTTTCTCTAACCCAGATACAGGCTAGCGAAATAAGTAGATTGAGTTACGATCTTGCCAACTTTGGACGCGATACTTGCCCTTCATCTAATTTCTGATGCATCGAACAGCAAAAAGGTGAGGTAACCCAGTGTCTATTTACATGTTGGCTTCTTCACTACTTTTAACACAATTGAATACGGTCCTACATGGAAACTTGCTATTTCTTGTGTAACTCAGAAGCCGTTGTGTCACCTTTTGCACCTTCATGCATTGTGGCAGAAAATGACAGAACAGACACACACTAAGTACTGCATTGAAGGTTAGTTTAACAGTTGCTAAGTGGAATAGATAGGTGAGGGTTATGGCAACAGCAGGAGCTAATAAAGCCAAGAAAGAATAACTGCAGCTGTGAATTCCAAAGTCTTGTTAACAATGGCAGAACAGAATAGGCGTAAACCATGAATGTCTACTGTTTGTATGTTATAGGGAAGCAGTTTGTCGACACGTCTTGCAATGTCTCATAACCTGGTTGAAGAGTGCTGAAGATTGGGTCCTTATAATTGGCGAGCGGGAGCTAACCTAGTGGTTCCAACGGCGATTTGTTTTGTGACGGAGGACGGCACTGCACATACCGAAAGGTTTTACGTGATTCTAAATACGCGAAACGGAATGAAATTTCGCAATCGTCTGTATACTATAGAGGAAACGCAACAGGCCAGGCTCCAACAGATCCCGTAGCTATCAGACAAGGCGAATTGCCATCGAGTCCAGCGAGGAGAGAGAGGCTCGCCTAGCGCTACTACGCAGGAATCAACTGCTAGGATGGCTCGTGCAGATACAGTCATTGTGTGCTCGCTCCCACTCGCCAATAATGCCATGCATTCGCCTACCAGTTCATTACTCTGGAAAAGTAATAAATTGAGGTGTTTCAACCTCAATTTACTGACTCTCAATATTGAGAATTGGTGGATAGAATTGTCTGTACTTGGGCAAGCATCATCAAAACGGTCCTACCCAGGTTTTATAGGAGGTATATACCATAAATCTCCCCCTGAGGGATAACTGAAGGCCCTAGACTGATCTATGCTTGGATTCACCACAAAATGTTGTTGCATGTGACTAGGTCTTAGATTGAGTGCATATTAGGTATTCACAAAACATTTCGAACACAATCAAGTAACAACATTCATAATGGTGAATACTACTCGCACACACAAACCTAGTGTGTCATACTTTCCTAGTGTGTCATCCAGCCTACTGCAAAACTGGAAGTAAACCAGGGAGAAAGGCTAGTTGATGAAAAACTTTAGTACTGATAGTACCTAGTTTTAAACTATAGAGTGCCTGACAAAGAAGATGATAATCTCTGGATGGATGAGCAGAAAAGTAACTTGACCATAATATGTGTTTCAGCAGGACTTGGCAACAATGCCTAACAGAGTGGAAAAGTGCAATTCTACCAAGCAACTACCACTATTAATTTAGTTTAAGAGTGGCACACCAGGCAACAATATAGGGATTGTGTGATTGGGTCGGGGGGTGTCAGCTTGCTCACATATATATTTCATAAACCATGCTTCCACTCTATCTTGTCTCCCTTTCATACCTATATTCCTTTATACTTACTTGTAAGTGCCTATGCGCTGGCACGTGTTTCGGGTCTATCATCAAAAGTTGTATTTTGTGGGTTTCAATTGAAGACTGAAGAATACAGAGGTGTTCTTAAGAGGGAGTTTCAGATTGGTGAAATCCCACTTGTGTAAGAAACTTCAGGGACAGTTTTAGACAATAAATATATTATATTGGCCAAGGATGATGAAATTAATTGTGCATTTTTTCCATCTCCCTATTATTTTTTTTTATTGAAGTTCCCGCCACAGCAGTATAAACGATGCTGTGAGGTATGTACATGACATACCACAGAAACCCTTTCTCCCTTTAGCAGTTGCTCAGACAACCAAGCTTTTTAAAACTATACAACTATGGTATATACCCCTGAATCTTG